ACTCGCTGAGGGACCTTAGATACTAGATATAATATACATAACAGATAATTTGAGTACCATAAGTACCATACCTGCTGCCAAAAATGGCCAAGCTGCAGATTATGTATGTATTCTTTTAAATAATAATATATTATATTGTCGAACGAATATGTAAATATGATAATACTTAAAAGTATTAGGTCCAGTAAAAGTTATCACGTAGTACTCGTAGTTTATGTTAATTATTACATATATTAATTTATCTAATCAATTACCTTTTATATTATGAAATTCTTCGTTAATGGCAACATTTTTCACTTTACATATCCACATTATTATATAAAATGTAAGATATTAGCAACCGTTACCTCATATTCTATTATAGATCCCGTCTCTACATATTCAAAGCTGTACAAAGTGAAATAAATGGGGTAAAAGGTTAAGCCATAAATAAAAGTATTGGCAGGTGGTGTCATATTTATGGTTACAATGTATTATGTATTCATGATCAATATAATGTCTTATATTATAGCAACAATTGAAATGGGCAAATTATAAATAAAATAGTCTATTTGTCATATCAGTATTATTCACTATTGTTTTAAGTCAATTGTCTTACAATAAAAACTTAGGAGATATGATTAGTCAATTGCTATTCTTAAAGCTGAGCAATTTATATCAGAAAAAGAGGAGAAGCTCTCAGAAGAAATTAATTTTGACAGTTTTTACAGCCTCAGTAGTATAGTAGTTTTATATTATAGCACACAGCTTTACTTCCGATGGTCGCGGGTTCGATTCCTCGCGCGGTGCAAATATTTGTGTTCATAAGTATGGTATCGTTCTAAGTATTTTCTATATATATATTATGTACGTATAGATATAAAAAAATATCTAAGTAAAGCGGTGAGCTGAACCGCTGGACCGCCGAGGCCGTCATTTTATTAATGTTGAAAACCAACTGACTATATTAACAATGTTTTTATAATAAATATAATAGTAAATATATTATATTTATTTTTAAGTCAGTCTCACACGCGGGTGAATGGTGGTGGAGAGAACAGAATTATAAAGAATTTATTTAATGTGCATGCACCAGTTGCAAAAATGCTCGACCTTTCCTTTAAACAAAGTGCTATAGATATATTATCTGAGCATGCTATAGCAAAATGCATGGAATGGCAAAAAAACAATATCAAGGTCAAATAATGGGCGTACAGTTGAATCTAATCCAATCCATTAGCCGTTTACATGTCTATCTAATTAAGAAGATAAAAACTAATGGGACGATGCTAAATACTATACAACAACATTATATTATGAACATATAATGGAAAATATAATTTACTTCTAAAAAAAACACTCTATATATATAATACGTACTTTTGAGAAACAAATATAGTAACTACTACTCTACGAAACTTTAAACTTGATATTGTAATATTTGTTTTGAGTAACGAAGATATTTTTGATTGAATAAATTCATTAAGTAATGTATTGACTTAAATTAATGAGTTATATAGTTTTATATTTATAAGTAATATATAAACACTACATTCATCTATTATTATAGAGTATTAATATCCATCACAACTAAAAAATAACATAAATAACGGGCACGTCATAAAACTGTAAACTCATGTATAAATATGCATTCAAATCATCAATCATCCATAACACATATTATTACATACCACGAACTTTAAACAGTCCATTTTTCAAACGGGCACTCGTAATCGACGTTTCATTTTAAAGTTGCAATCGATATAGATACGTTGGTAACTAAAAAAACTCATTTAGTACTCGATTGCTACTCAGATAGCGAGTGCTTGAGACATGACTGCATCAAAATTCTTGTAATGCACCAACCAGTCCTGTGATGTATGTATTTGTGCAACAATTTCATGAACTCATTATGTCTGCATTCAACTTTTGCATACAATATCTGAGGAGTACTGTCGGATAGTACACGATTCTGCGTACATTTTTTTCTTATACTTCGTATAAATAGCAACTAGTCTAGTGATGTACCAGCTTATACATATATCTACCATTGACTCCTGAACTCATTATATCTGCATTCGACATTAGTATACAATACAATATCTATAAAGTACAACACAGAACAGCATACGAATATTTTTGTTTACTTAGTATAAATACTCGATTATATTAACTCGTCGATCTTTGCGTAATTATTTATTTTCTAATTATTTGTCTAATTGCATCAATTATTCTAATAATAATTTGACGACTTCAGTGATTTAGCACACCACCTTACTTCCGATGGTCGCACAGTACAAACATTTATTCATATTCATGTGTATGAGTAGAGAGAGAGACTAGTACTAATAATAACGTTTCATAATGCATAGTACATTATGTATGTACTTACAAATTAAGTATATTTAAGTATTTATATTAGTTGTCTAATACCCACAACACAAGCTCTGTTTAGCTTGGGAGTACATGTCGCCGTGTAAAATATCCTGGGTTATTAATATTATGAACATATATAACATATAAGCAACTGACGTCTTCTTCTTGAAGTTCTATTGAACAGCATAAATTTTGTGTAATTTAATTTTTCCTTATACCTACGTTTGTAAACATGTAACAACTATTATGAGTGATGTGGTACGGTATGTTTGTGCAAAGATCTTTTGAAGTCATATTGTTATATTTAACTTTCTCGTACTATATTGCGAAGCCTTTACCTTTTACAATGTATTTGCACATTTTCTATAATTTATTAATATAAATAATATGACAAAAACTTGTTTTAAACGTTTCTCCTCATATATCATATAATATTATTTATTATATGTGGAATACAATATAAATGTTTATATCAAATAATGACTATTAGGTTAGGTTGGTTGGTGGTTGGTCCAAGGCTCCTATAGGGTAATCTACAAACTTTAAAGAAGTATTTTCCGCTTTTGTTAAGTGCGCAAAATGTGTGAGTACAGTACATTTTGCATTATGTGCATTAAAGTTATATAAATAAAACTTCCATATATTATCTACGTAGGTACATTGTATACCTGAGTTGTTTGTATTGCCGGTATTACGCTAGGAAGGTCATTGACTCACACCTACATAAATATTAGTTTTGATCGTTTCATGGGAAATCAGCTGATGCCAAAAATGTTTTGTTAACTAGCCATAAAAAAGATAGATAACAGAAGGTATTCCTCTAATGAAAATTAATTAATTAAAACTACTAAAATAAAAAATCGAATCACGTTAGTTTTTATTGTAAATTTTATAAACATATTTTATGTCCAGTAATTATGGTTTAGAGCTTTTAATTAAATTATAAACGAAGTTTTTATTATTATAAAATTATATATCTCTAAATCGATAATCGAAGTTTCCTTTAACTTGTTTCCTATATATTACAAATATTTATCAATTCCTAAGCATTTTAAACCTCATTAAAATCTTGCTGGATACTGAAATTTTGCATATTTAGTTAAATCAGATGACAATCTAATATATAACAAATATACATTGTAATGATGTTGGAAGATGGTCACAAGAACTCCTTTACAAGGCAACCCAACCTCAATATGGTTGGGCTCGTCAGCCGGTTTACTCTGAAAACCAATTCCTTTTAATTAGATCGTATTTATTCCATATTTAGTAATCAATATAAGAACTACTTGATACGCTATCGAATTATTCGGATAAGTCTTCATTATGTTTAAAATAATACAGTACAAAAATCGATAGGATCGAAATCGATATTGAGATTAGACGACAGAGTAGACCCGCAGGTCTATCTCGACGATTATATTTGACTGACTGGTATTAATTATAAGAAACCTTTAAAGCATATATTTATGTGAACAATATTCTTCATTAAGTAAGTTAACATTTTAAATTATCGCTTAGTGATTGAAATTGTTTAACAATTGTTATTATAATGCTGATAAGCATAATAAAATACACGTACTTTTATATGCTGATACCTTCTCTATTTTCTAATTCTAATATACATAAAAGCCTACACTCGTTTAATTTAAATTGAGATATTCCTGAAAACATCAAAAGATATAATAGAAATGCAACAATGGACTATATTGCCACGGGGCAATGTTCTAAATTGCTTGGTATTAAAATTCTAGAAGGCCATTTACCCATATATTAGTAGTATGGAACTACAAAGCCACCTACCCGTAACTTAGTCCTTATGTATTTCGTTTGTTGACATAGTAACGAGCATGCGCAGTCCGCACCTTACATATGCGTACTGTTGTCAATAGTCCCATTTATACATTATTTATTTGAACATGACCAAAATGAAAATGACTGCATGATAAATTAAAAGTAGTCATACATTTATAGTGCTAAAACATCTAATATAATTACCCTACTTGGTAGGTAAGTATACATCTAGAAAAACATAGAAGAAAAAGATAAAATAAGTAGTGGCGCCATCTGCGGTGATATGGTTGAAGTTAAATTCTAGTGACATTATTTTAACTATATAATTTGTAACTTATATATAATAGAATAGAAGACGGTTATTTTTTAAGAAAATTTGACAATAGATTACACGACTGTACCTTATACATAACTAATGAAATGCGAAATACACACAAATGTTGCTGTATATATCTTATATATACAATTTGTTTTTAATATATTGAGAGATAAATAGACGATGATAGACATGTCAATATCGAATTGAGACTTACATATATTTTAAATAATAGATATATAATTGTTTACATGGTAATTAGCATGAATTATAGGACTATTCGTTTATATATGCAAATTTATTTAACTATTTGTATAGAGCATTAAATTAGGCAAAAAGTTTGAACAAGCCGCATTGTGTAACAAACGTTTAGACTCCAAACATTGACACATCTATCATTATAATATTCGGTATAAGATCAAAAATAATAAACAGAAATAAATATTTTACTTATAAACTTGGCAAACTTTGAAGCAAGCGAATTAAATTAATTCGAGATACTGATTCTCAATCAAAAACCTCATTAGCAACTCACCGAAAACACTCCATAGCCGGCGGAAATTGCGCCAAGTAATATTTCATAATTATCCTGGTGTGGCCTCTTTGATCTTAGACCATCACTTCAAATTATTGCCGGTCGTATCGTTATCAAAAACACTTTCGCCTACACCCGCCACTGTCACTGACACAACCAACCGGTAATACCGTTTCGACTGTCAAAATCACGTGGCACTCGCGCGTAAATCACTCATCGGCACCGAATACGTATTCTCGCTGCATGAAGCTCATAGCGCATGACATTGAAGAAACATTATATTCATGTAGCGGCTAACCTCCCACACAGTTCGTGAAGAACTAAGCGCAACTTATCGAGGTGCACGTGGCCTGTAGCTTACGCGACGGCCGCCCTTCCAAAGCGTCGTTCATACACTACGAAAAGCGACTTTCGCTCGCACGTCGCACGATAACATTTCGCCCAAAATCGAAAACAGCCGAGATGAGTTCAGTCAGAATATGGGACGTACACACAGTGTATTTCCGTACTAACGTTGACAGTGTATGTAGATATATGATACGTGCATTCGTATATATATATACATATATATAATAAAAGTGCATCCTAATTTTCGTTTTCGCTTGCAAAACGTACCGTGTTCTTATGGAATTGGAATTTTCCAGTTTAAGCCCGGCAGATATATTGTTACTGCTATCCAGGGAGAAATTTGATACGGAATTTATTCCCTTAGCCGCGAGAATAAAAAAGAAACTCTATTGTTGTCGGGCTGATATTGAAAAAGTTTCCTCTTGGTATAACGATCGTTTCCTTTTTGCTTTGTTTTTTTAAAGGATAATTTCTAACTTAGTGGGCAGTCCGTTTAATCTCACTTCTTTGTTGAGTACATGACTCGTTTATTTTAAACGATATCATGATTTATTGTTAAAATTCTTTCTCTTTCGTTATTAAGAAATTCCAATGTCAATCTACCGTAAATATTGATGTAAGTACTGACATGTTCCATCTTTTGGGACCAAAAATACATTAATATTCTTAATAAGTAGTAATGATGAAGGACCACTGACAGTAGGAAGTAGTTAATATAGTTTTTTGCCAACTTATAGTTTCAAATCAAATATTATATTGAGAAAGTAATGATAACATTTACATTCGTAGCATCTTCTAATAAATACTTCTATTAAATAATATTCTGAAAACGAGTTGGTTTTCAGGGAATTATGTGTAGATTTATATTTATATTGCTAACAATGTTATGAAAAGTTAATACCCACTTCCTTGTACTAAAAATATAGATATATACAAAGAACATTTAATTTTGGAATTACCACTCTAATAAGAAAAAAGGAAATCGCTCTTAATAGAATAATTCATACCTATTTATTGAACAGACGAGTCGAGTTTTCAAACTTGCTACCTATTAAACAACTTTTCTTACAATAATACTATTTCCGTTCTCTTTTGTTTTCATAAGTCATAACTTTTTCCATTACTAATTTTTAATTGTACGCTTTAGTCTTTTTAGGTTAATAACCCGAGTAAATTTAATATCTTTTGTCTTTATGCCAAACAATAATTATAGTAGCTAAAATAATTTTTATACACATCAAAGAAAAATAAATTAATTTGTATATAATGTCAGTTACAATAAAATTAGTTTTACTTTAACTGGATATGTCTATTACTACATACTTACTATATACCATCCGTATTATAAAACGGTATAAAGATATTTCCTACGAATTGGTAAAAAATATGTTTAGTAAATATATATTTTTCTAGTATTAATAATGAATATGACATAGGATAGAATATTGGAACAATTTTTAATAGGTAGAAAATTCAATGTCTATATGTTATGAAAACTTACTACACACCATTTTGATAGTAATTTAGAATAAATTAAATTAAGATTTTGTTACTAAGGGGCGTCATCAATGTTGATAATTCAGCGTTGATTGATAAATATATTGTAAACACGAAAAATCGGTCAGAAAAAATTGTAATATTCTATGTCACACATCGCAGTGTGCTGACCTACAGGTTAGTAAGCTATAGGGCCGACGTTAACAATACCTTTGTAACGGTTGTCAATACACAAGTCAGTTGATAATGTTTGAATTTTCAATCAAAAACTTTCCAGTTCCGTGTTAAGCGTGAACATTTTGAATAGCGGAATTTGCAGTGTTAGCTAGTTTGTTCGAAAATATTGCTTTCACGTCTATTTGTAGGTAAACCTGTAAACTGGCAAAGTATAAAGCTTATCGTTCTTATAAAAAACAAATGTTTAATATGAGTTTAATTTTAAATGATTTCCTATTGCCATACTTTAGGCCGATATTGAAGGGATCAAATATAATTTCAGATTCTAAAAGATATTATAGATTCGCAGAATGACATTATTAATGTAAAGTTTATTAAAGTGATGTATAATGATATAAAAATCAATATAAATAATAAGTTAAATTGAGATAGATGTTTCTATTTAATATATATCGGCTGATACACGACTACACGTAATTATCGAGAGTTTGAAATCAATCCTATCATGTTCTAAAATTATGGGATAATTTGTTTCAAAAAGCAGAGACTCCTTGTGGCTTAACCTGGATCAAAACAAAATAAGTATAATATGTAGTCTATGTACATTTGGAATAACCGTACTTTACTAATTCAGTTTTTTTTACATATATAGCATTGTACACCTCGTTGGTTTAGTCGTCTAGAACACCGCTTTAGTTCGGAAGGTCGCCGGTTCGACATATTTGCGCATGTTACAAATATTTGTATTCATATGTATGTTTATTTGTACTAATCTACATTTTTTTCTATAAATATTATGTATGTATTTTCAAATAAAATAAAAGTTTTTATATCAGTTGTCTAGTACCCTACTAGTCTCTCAGACCAGTCTGGCTGGTAGATGTTATTATTTTAAATCCATATATACACCAACTCACAAAATTTAGAACACTTCCTGAATATTATTTAGTTTAGTAATACCATTAAGGAAGTGATACGCTAATATAAGTTACGTAATTTTCGAAATGTATAACTTTTTAAATGTAGATATTTTAAAAGAAGTAGAAATTATAAATTAAAATCAAATGAATCTTTATCAATCTGTTCGACGAGATCAAACTCAACTTAAATTAATGATCATGTGACCAAATGATGTTATCAGATATAGTTCTCTTTACAATGGATACGTTAGTGACTTTGATACTTTTTAGGTCACAACACAGACAATCGAGTGCCACGCCTAAATTAATACAATTTATGTCCCCAGTTCCAGTAAAATGGTACTAACACAATGATGATATCACTTCTATTATAAATATAGCTGACTTAGTGGAATGCCGCAAAATCTTTTAACAAGTCCGGATACATATATTTATTATATACGAAGAATGTTTATTATTTTTTTAAATGGAATCCTGACATGTATTGAATTATTTTATTATATAAACAATATCATATTTATTCAATGTAAGGTCAATAACTTATAATATACGAGGTATATTATTTATATTATATATGACTATATATAGATCCGAGTTATGACTTTGTAAAATAATATATTATAAGTGGTAGGGACCTCCGTCTCACCTATTTTAACCTCCAAGTAGCTTGCTTTTTTTAGATGTATTTCATTTAAAATGTGAGATAAGGTGAAGTCTGAATATACATAATAAAAGAATGAAATAGTGAAATTACAGAGTCAGAGAAACCTGGAATTGTAACCGTTATACAGGCTACGATTAACCATGAGGTGGGCCATCACATTGTTTGCCATTCTTTTTACATTAAAAAAACGTATTTTATAGTATAGATTTCAATGCGCGACCGTATAATACATAAAGACAAACTACATAAGTATGGTATACTTATGTAGTTTATCTTTGTATATTATAATTTCATAGATAATATCATATCACTTTATTTTGATTAAATGTTTATTTGTATTTTATCAATAGCTATGTAAAACAGTACCTAAATAGTACATATAATATAAAATAGTAACTACTGCAAGATTTTAAACTATACTTTCAAAATTATTTAGTTTATTATGTAAAGAGCTAATACATACTTTCTCTGTATATTTTTTACAATATTTTAAATTTCGAATAGAACATTGATATAAGTACTTTAACCTAATTGTGTATTCCAATTTACCGCCGCATCCCACACTCGTTGTTAAATTTTCGTTCGTTTTTATTATCCCTAATTTATCAATGGTTGTCATTTGTACATCTCTACCCCTATTGTTTGGAGCAAACGTGTCTCTTTCGGGCTGATACACGCCATAAATTTAACCGCCTGCCAGCTCGCCGTCAACCCTTTTCAAAAATTAGATGCAAATCTCTCTGCAAAATTCGAATGAGCTAAATCTTAGGTTGCCGTCGGGCCGTGCGTGATAAACTATTTTTGTCAAGTAATAGTTAAATTAGTTTGGCTGAATATATCTAAAAATAAAGTTAAAATTACAACATTACTACGTTCACTTAGACAGACTATGTTAAGATTTATCTAGGTGTATAGCTCTTTCTACATATTTTAGTTGCCATTCATTATAAATCTAAGAAGCACTAATTATGATGACGACTTAGGTTTTGAAGCCGACTACAGCAAAGGAAACCCCAAATAGCGCCCGTAATTTGTGACACTTGTATAGGTTTAAGAGGCCCCTTTAGAATGCATTAACACTCACCTTCACTTCTTGGCGCTTTTGGCCAGGCCCAACTAAGACCGGGATAAACCCATTTCTAATACAATTCACTTTAGTATCCAAAACACAACCGGCACGCTCTGCGCTTGTCGACTGAATGCCGTGGCTCACCCAACGAAAGAGGATTATTCAACTACCGACCTCCGTCTTTATAGACCGATGTCAGTGTTGTAGGGAGCCAAGGGGGGTAATGGTTATCTTATGACAAATAACTTAGTATGGTCCATAAGTACTAGATGGCGCTATTTACAATATTTGTAATAATCTTTACATTGGCTACTTCATTAGTACTAAACACAAACTATTACCTTATCTTAATATCTGTTTAAAATATCGAATTTTTCTACAATATTGATGTGAACCGTAACATAATGTAGTATCACAAGTAAAGTAAGGCTGTAAGCAAACAGGATAAGCAACATAACATCTTCCTCTGAAATGGCAATGCATGATTGGTATCATTGATGTTATGTACATAGGAGACAATTACCACTTACCATCAGGTGAGCCGTCATCTCATTTGCAATTCTGATAGCACAAAGAACGCTTAAGAATATAATTATGAGATGTACAGAAATACAATTTTATACAAATGAATAAATAATTGGCAATTAGGAAAAACTAAGTTTTACACACAAACGCTCAATAT